GCCAATAGCTGAAGCGGCCAGTGCGGCCTCGAGTTGGGCCTTGCACTTCGCCAACTCCTGAGACAGTTGTGTGTTCTTCTCTGTAAGACCCTGCATAACATATGATCCTTAAAACAGTTATCTTAACTATTTCAAGTCTCGAGGGCTACTGACATATATAACTATCAGATTTACTCACCCGTATGTCTTTTACATGCTGCTCCGTGGCCCTGGCTAGACCATTTTGAGCGGCACGGAGGTACGCATCTCCTGTATTAAAGACGTTTAACGCCTCCGAGGAAAAACATGCGTCCTGAAGAACAGTCCGGCGATGCCTATGGTTCATGGCACTCTCCACCTCTGAATTGGTGGCAGATAGCCTGTCCGCATCCTCTGTCGGGGGAACGCCCGACGCGCGTCCCGTGTCCGCCTCCGCTTCCGGATCCGACCTTGAAGTCTGGCCGGTGGATATAATCCGGCGGGCTCTCTTCTTCCTAAGGAGAACATGGGCGTTAGAATGACTTGAGGGCATAGACCCTAGGCGTGAAATTTGCACGCCGTACCGTTGCACCAGAGTCTCGATCTGGTCTGCACTTCTTTTTTGCCCGCCTGGCTTTAGCGGCCCTTGTTGGCTGCCCACCGCAGGCCCGGCACTCCGCCTCAAGGATTTCCTCTGCAAAACGAAACACTATTGGTCTACAACATTCAAAATAAGACATGGATCGATCTCCTTCAAAGTACCAGGACTTCGGTCTCGGCTACCTTTGAGGCTGGAAGTAATCCGGGATAGTCGGCCGTAATGGCCACTAAGGTGTTGTCCTTACTCAATTGATGAAACACCCCATCAATTAACCCCACACATAAGTCCGGATCCTCTTGGGAATCCGGGTCGAGTGACCGTTCCGGGTCCTCGGGCTGTGGGGGAGATCTGTTGATCTCCTTCACCGTCTGGCGTAACTCCTGCGTTAATATCACCAGACTGAATACTCAACCATGGGAATTTCGAAAACCGGGTAGATAAGTGAAATTGTTCGCTTACCCAACTTGGAGGATTATACATGGAGAATCCGCGCTCCGGGTTGGCATGGAGGAATTCCTCTTCTTCTCCCTTGTACAAAGCGGATAAAATTCTCATTAAGGTGGCGGCCGAATCTGGCCCCTTACGACCGCACCGGGTAGCATCGTCCTCCCCGTTGAAATCCCACATGGGGTGGCCTCTGTATTGAAGCGGTTGCACCCCTCGCGTAATGCATATGGCCATGACCTTGATCATGGTCAGTCCAGAATGAGCCAACAACCTTATCCGGCTCATCAGGTAAAGGACGTCCCTGTCAGTTTCCCTCTGAGGGTTCCGCGGGCGCCAGCTCAGGCGCTTCTTCAACGGAGCATTATTGAACTCAGGAAGGCCGATCCGTACAGGGTCCGGCAGGGGGACGTCATCTATATAGAACCACTCCGAGGGCCAGTCCTCGGACGTCCTCTTTGGGGTACCGGATAGATATCCGGTCCCAGCGATGCGCCATAGTTCGGCTCCGCCCACTTGATAAATAGACCCCTCCTGAGAACGGGGCACGAGGCAGAACAACCTCTTCCACAGCGCAAAAATGGGCCTCAACGCCCAAAAATAGTTCGCAGAGGGCCACGAAGCCCGCAATGTGCAGAATGGAGGCAGGCGTGAGATGATGTAGTTGGAGGCCGTAGAACTCCAGCAACCCTCGGAGAAACGGATGAATTGGAAATCCGAGTCCTCTTATTAAATAAGGGACTAGGCATACCCGCTCTCCTCGAGAGGGATGGGGGATGCTCTCTGCTTGCTCTCCGCCGCTATAAGTGGCGATCCCAGCTTGAACTGGGACCATATATGCTGGGGGAAGGAGTCCCTTGGATTGAAGCACTACGAGTTCACTATGCGGGACGGAGCATCTCTCCCAATCCCCAGGCTTGGGGCTGGGAGCGCGAGAGGAGGAGCCGCGTCGGCTGTCCATGATGGGATGGATTTTTTGGTCAGAAGTGCTCCGATGAAAGCTTGCGAAGGGGAAATGGTGTGGTTCGGATCTAGATCCCCGTCTCTTTTTATAGACAGCTTATTTGAGTCGCTAGGGGGGAAATGCAAAAATACCATGGCTTTTCGCATTCGCTCGACACATGGAAAATGGCCTTTATTGGGCGTGGAAGCCAAGGAGCGCAACATTTATCAGAAGTCGGACACTATTCTACAAGTATATGAAGCTGGAGAAGAACCCGCCTTGCAATGCCGAAGACAATTTGCGCACCAGACTCGTCGTCATTGAAGCCTGGTTCGGGGGCTACTGAGGGAGTCCTGGATTAGGGGTGTCCGGATGACCGGACTATGACCTTTGGCCGGACTCCCGGACTATGAAGATACAAGATTGAAGACTTCGTTCCATGTCTGGATAGGGACTTTCCTTGGCGTGGAAGGCAAGCTTGGCGATACGATATGAAGATCTCCTCCCATTGTAACCGACTCTGTGTAACCCTAGCCCTCTCCGTTGTCTATATAAACCGGAGAGTTTTAGTCCGTAGGACAAACAACAATCATACCATAGGCTAGCTTCTAGGGTTTAGCCTCTCCAATCTCGTGGTAGATCAACTCTTGTAATACCCATACCATCAATATTAATCAAGCAGGAGTAGGGTTTTACCTCCACTGAGAGGGCCCGAACCTGGGTAAAAATATCGTGTCCCTTGTCTCCTGTTACCATCCGCCTAGACGCACAGTTCGGGACCCCCTACCCGAGATCCGCTTGTTTTGACACCGACACATGCCGATCATCGTGTCGAAGTGGCGACGCCACTTTGCGTAGTTGCCGGCGAGGAGGTCGAGGGTGATCGGAACGTGACGACGGATGTCGATGGTTTGCAGCACCGTGGGAGAGACGGTTGTCACAACCGGAGCAGGAACCACAGGGGCGGGAAGGAGAGCGGGTGGAGGTGGAGGTGGCACGACCACGGCGGCAGGGGCGCCGGAGCCATCCTGAGCATGGGAGGAGGGGGAAGGCGGGTTGTTCCCATAGCAGCGGAAGCGGGATCGTCGACCAGAGCGAAAGGATTGAGCCGGTCGCCGGTATCTGATACCATGAAGAGGAGAGAGTAGCTATAGGGATCAACACACATCTATTAGCTCTGTTGGCTGAAACTATATACAGGTTACAGAGATCGTTGTGCGCCACTACCTGGCTGATCGTGGGCGACATGCCCACTACTCACACGCATGCACTGACCGCAGGTCGTGCTCTATACGTGTATACATACACTCTACACTCTCTACACTCTAACAGCGGCCCCCGGTGGCGATCATGGAGATCGACCGCCCCGTGGGCGGTGCGGTGCGGAAGCGGTGGCGACTAGGGTTTGGATCGAGATTAGGCTGATACCATGTTAGAAGGGAGAGAAGGAATTGGTAGAATAATTCGTTGTATTGCTTGAGCCTCATGGGCATATATATAGGAGTATAATGATTAACTTGAAGTAAAAGACAAGACAGAACAAATCCTAGTCTATCTCGTCTTTTCTAATAATCAATATACTCAACACTGGCCAAGGAGCTGCACGGGACCCGCCAACGCCGTGGCGCCGGGGTCGACGGCCACCCCGATGTTCTACAACGGCAAGACGGAGGAGGAGGCGGAGCGGCACATCACCGAGGCGCCGCTGGGGCGGCTCGGGCTGCCGGAGGACATCGCGCCGCTCGTCGGCTTCCTCGTCAGCGACGCCGGCGGGTGGGTCAACGCCCTGGTGCTGCGCTGCAACGGCGGCACCATCTAGACAGCTCCCCCTCCCTCGTTCGCCATTGGCAAACTGAGCTAGCGGTATCTGTTTCGTTGTGTTGTGCGTCTTGTGCTCCGACTCTTCCGAGTGACAAACATTTGTGCTGTTCCTATTGTATGCTCCCCTGTTTGTTTGGTCCTTTTTCGTTTCCGGCACAACTCTTTCCTGGACTTATCTGTGCATTTCCTCTATGATCAATAGTATGAGATGACCGGTTGATGTTCAGAAGCACTTTGCTAGAAGACCCAACACAAAACAGACAGGCCTAAAAGCTTCCAACCCAAGCACTAATTTGACTCGTTTCCGCACAAATTCGCTTCAAATCCAAAACCCTGATCTGCAAATGACTTCAGAACCATTTGAGTTCATTTAGTTGCAGATGGCCAAGACTTTAGCCATTGCCTGGGCACGTACAATGTGAGACCAACCAGTCAATTTGGCTACCAGTTACCACCCCCCTCCCTCCCTCCTAAATATAAGCTCTTCCAAAGATTTCAATATGATTTACATACGGATGTATAAATTCATTTTGCTCTATATGTAGAACATATTGGAATCTCTAAAAGGGCTTATATTTAGGAAGGGGGTACAAACCAAGCATTGATATTAAATCATGGTTCTGCAAAAAGATAATCTGGAAACTATGTTCAGCTAACACCAACCCATGAGTTGTGGTTTTGTGATATTTTTACTCAGAAACACATCTACACCAAAAAGAAAATACATTCAACAGGCGGGCGTCGATAAGCCGGCATGTCTCTCAATGGGAAAACATGCAGGCTTATCTAGAAGAATGGACAATAATTTTGACGGAGTGTTCTTTCCAAGTTGCAACAATCTTCAACAGCACAACTAGACATTATAGGTAACATAATTGTCCGTGGTACATCAGAATGACAGTGTAGATGACCTTCCAAAACATACCCAGGGGGGCTGCCCATACACATGTAAATAAAACAAACCGAGAAAAACCATACACATATGGACAATCACAAAACAAGCTAGAGCATATTAGGACCTTGCAAGCAGCACACAGCACTCAGTCCATGTACAAACGAAAGAATGACCTATAAAATTCGCAAAACCAATCAACCAAAGCCACAGGTAGCCGTTCGCACAAAGATGACCAGCAATGGATCGTGCCAATCAATCAATCATGATGAGAGGGATAAAAACAAGCACATATGATTGATTGATCACATTCTGCGGGAGAACCGGAAGCAGACGCTTATTCAAAAGAGGTCGGCTTTCCGCTTCTGCAGCTCTTGCTTCCACCCTGGCTGCTGGTAGAACGCGTCCTTGGTGATGCCGAAGACGGTCTGGAACTCGCTCTCTGATAAGTATGCCTAGAGAAGCAACAGCCAAAGACATGAGCAATTCAGCTGCAACCTATACAAGCTTAACCCTAGTCTAAGAAACAATGCTAAACCAGCAAACCTAAAAAGTGCTTCGGAAGAATAACCTAGTAGTACATGTGGACTCTCGATATAAAGTGTTCTCGAGAACAAACCTCTCTGCGTTTGTAGTCTATCCCGCGGATAGGATCAGTAGATTTAGATATCAAGCGGTCGTAGCTAAATGTTGCTTCACCAACATGCTCAGTTTCTTGTTCCTCTGGCACCTCCAGCGCCTCAGGCTCTGCTACATCTACCTCGGATGGCACCTCATCCACTGCAGCATCTTTCTCTGACTGAAATTCAGAGGATTCCCCAGCTTCAGAGCGAGGAGATGCCTCCGATGGAGATATTACGACGACCTCCGCCTCTGCAATGATTAAAGGTATAAAGCTTTGAAAAACACAAATACCAGCAAGTCCATAAGGGCTCACTTCATCTATGGATCTCCCCACTAGTCTGGTGAACATAACGCAGTTACTCCAGTATACCAGCAAATTAAATATACAGCACAGTAGACATGCATTCACTATTCCAAAGTTATTTGCAGAGAGATGAGCACAATTGTTTTGAAGTCTTGGTGGAACAATTTTACAGCAAAAACACAAATCGGACAATCCACAAGTCTTTATTGTTCTCTAAGAAGATGAAATTTAAAAGGGGGGGTACGGCTGTACCACTCTTTTCTGATGTTGTGCTCGTCTTGCTAGCTTTGAGATTGTCAGATGATCCAGACTGCTCAGCAGTCAGCACAGAGGACAGCGCAGCAACTGCAGCTGCTCTTTGTGACCCTTGACCTGAACGTGACGGAGGTGGAGTTTTTGGTTTTGAGGATGGATTAAACGCATTGGACAAGGCAGCCAGTGCAGAGGCACGTTGAGTGGGTCCATCACCCGAGCTTGGAGGTCTACTATCAGTAGCCTGAAAGGGATTGCCTAGTTAGTTAATCACTCATGATATTTTGGTAGAGAAAATATTGAGCATTTACCTGCTTCTGCTGCGGAGCTGGATTGAATGCAGTTGAGGACAAGGCAGCCAGTGCAGAGGCACGTTGAGTGGGTCCATCACCCGAACTGCTTGGAGGCCTACTATCGTTAGCCTGAAAAGGCATTGCCTAGTTAGTTCATCACTCATAATATTTTGGTAGTGAAAATACTGAGCATTTACCTGCTTCGGCTGCGAAGATGGATTGAATGCAGATGATAGAGCTGCTAATGCAGATGCCCTTTGAGTGGGTCCACCATTACCAGAGCTCCTAGATGCACCCTGTAAAGTAATTATGGCATCAATATGACAATATCATGCTACTATTATATTCTCTATATTTTGCATCTCCAATGAATTCATGAAATTTGTATCATGTACTACAGCATGATCAATTGTCTAAACATCCGGTTTATGAAGTTCATTCTGTAAAAGCAATTCAGCTATACTATACTTGTTATACATCCGAGCAGTGCTGCGAGTGTTACCCAAATTACCTCTGAGCGTAATCCAAAAAGAAGTGAAAGTTTCTTTTGGAACGAATTCCCATGAATCTGCACAAAACAAGAAACCCGTTAATGGCCCGTAACAAGCACTAACAGAATAAACACCACGAATAGCATACACAGGTATAAGTGAACAAGGAGAACTATAACGAAGACTGCCTTCAGAAGTAAATGAAACCACAAATGTTCAGCAGGTTTTCACTTTAATTAACTTAAGTAGATCATACCATCACTGTAAGTTAATAATAGACAACAGCACACAAAGATATAGCAGTATAAGATATCCGACAGCATACCACAGATTTTGTGTTATCCCAAGAGAAGTATGTCTTGAAGAAGCACGGTTCATTCCCTTCAGAGACTTTGTAAAGTGGTACATAAGGGGAAAGATCTTCAATCGACATCGCATGCTCTATGTATTTCTGTGGTAAAGAGGTATAAGAAGCATCAAGTGTTGCATAATTGTAAAACAACAGCAAACTATAATAACAAGGTCAAAGCTTCAGGTCACCTGGCCAATTTCGAACGCCTTTTGTTTCTCTTTTGGTTCCACGCACTGACCAACCCAAATAAAGACCTCTCCGTGTGTGTCGAGAATCATCAAGTCTTCAGTCAACAAATCATCTTGGCAAAAATTGAAGATCTCGGTAACCTGCCGAAGCTCATTGACATCACATAACCTGAATTTCTATAACCAAGTCTAACTTAAAAGAATCAAGGGCAAGAGGAATACCTCTAGTCTCCCTGATCAATGGTAAATTGATGACCATGTTACCATGAATGAAACCAAAGTAACAAAATATAATTAGGACAAGTACATGTACCATATAGATACTGACATAATGAGAGCAAAGAAGTCAAAGCAAGAAATCTACAAGGACTAACCTTTCCTAATTGAGAAGGCATATAAATGAGGCTCTCTAACAATAGTATCCTGCATGATGGGTTTGCTTGTATAGCTCTGTTTTCCATCAAGAGCAAACCAGAAAGCAGAACTCTCTGTTCCCTCCTTGCAATGTTTCACTGTCACACCAGGCTGCAATATTGGATACAGAAATCTTAGCGAGGGGTAGTTGGGAATGGCAGTGATTCATGAAGTTTCAGAATCAATGCTTCATAAGAAAATAGTTATGGAACAACTTTGCAGCAATCCATAACTACGTTCATGTAATTCGATGTGATATTTTTAAAAATATGCTGTATCACGATTACTAAAACAGAAGAACTCTTTAGGTAACCGTGACACTATGACCATCCATCAAACTACAGTGAATAGACATTTCTACTGACATGTCTTCCACAAATAACCAGGGGCATGTAAACAGAAAAGGTTGTGCCGACCAGTAAAGGGTCGAATAAAAAATTAGTTGCGTGCTGCTGCAGATTGGCTGTATTTGAGATGTGCCACTGAAAAGCTCCTTCTTGATGTGCCATTAAGTGGCTGATTTCAGATATATGCCAGTATGAACAGGACGCCAGAGCTTGGGGATGGGCTGTGTTTAGGAAACACGTGGAAAGAGCATGGCTGTATTTTTATGTACAAGAACGTTGGGGTGAGACCCTAATACTAAAACTAGGGTACAATAAAGTCTGCAACGGCTATACACAGGTCGATACAGTGAAGTCTGCAACGTTTCTACACAGGTTGTTGGTGCAAGGATGGCTCAGATGGCACAAAAAAAGGAGAAACGGGAACTCGAATATTGGCGCAAGGATATGTGGTGGAAGCAGCTCAGTTACGACATTGGAGTGACTGGAGTTTACCCAGCAGTTTCAAGTGGTGGCATCAACAGAGTGATGGGACACAGCGATTGAAGATTGTATCCAAAGTTCCAGAAGCAGCCTTACTGCAAATTCCATGGTTCAAGGTTGCAACAGCGGCATCCTCAATGATGCAATGCGATGAGATTGTACAGCTTGAGATTGCCTCAAATAGCCTGGCAAGCAACTGAGTCTGTCCATGGAGAACGCTATGGAATGGTGTGGAAGAAGTCAGGACTGGTGTTAGGTTGACAAAGGAAACAGGGGTAGTTCCATCCATACTGACGTATTTTTAAAATCAGGCAATTTGAGATTCAAAAGGTAAAACAGACAATCTGCAATGGCATATCTCGAAGAGGGGTCCTTTTGGTAGCACATCTCTAATATGAACACACAGTGGCATGTATCTAAATTTTCCATCCAAAGAGATTAGATGGAAATTTTTACCTGGTAAATTTTGGCAAAAGCCAGCAATCAGTACAAGTACTGAACTGCAATCAGTAGTAGTGCTGAACTGCGTCGGTACACAGAGAAATTATATTCTATACCTAACTGGACCGGCACTTTTTGCTAATTTGTGCAATAGCTTTATTTCAGTTGACACTGACATTGTGATACATGTTACCACAAGCCACCAGAATGGTGAGCTTCAATCTTCATATGTCACCTTTATAAGGTTCCCATTTCCATTCAAAATCAGCATATAAGCTTGAATTTTTCACGAGTTAAACTATTAGTGTCACTATTAACATCTTATATATATATGTGTGTGTGGTAATAACTTGTATGTGTAAGATGGGCGAGACATGAGTGAATCTGTCATTCAACAAACTCAATAACAAATCATGTTATAAAGACTTCTGCAAAAGGTGCATAGAAATTTGAAATGATCTCTGTTTAAAGATGGCCATGTACCTTCAAGAATTCAGCAACTTTCGCTGCCCACTGCTGTTGCTCATAAGTGCTAGAGTTGCCATGCCATGTAAACATAGCACTTCCAGTTTGCAATACAAAACAGTCTGTGGAGCTTAAAGATGTAGCTAGCTGTAAAATTAACCGATTAACTCACGGGAAAAATAACGGAATTTATGTACAGTTGTAGATTTTGTGAATATTCTCTGTGCATAAAAAAGGGCAGCCCGGTGCATGTAGCTCCCGCTTGCGCAGGGTCCGGGGAGGGGAAGGGTCCGACCACTTGGGGTCTACTGTACGCAGCCTTTCCCTACATTTCTGTAAGAGGCTGTTTCCAGGACTTGAACCCATGACCTCATGGTCACAAGGCAGAGGTATAATTTTTCTAAGAAATTGGCACAAAGGTATACTTTTGAAAGACAATAATCTCACTTGCACAGCTTTTGTTGTACTAAATCAGCGACAATTAATATGGATCGGAGGGAGTATGTGTCGTTCTAGATATCAACAAAAATAACAGGGAGGCAGGTTATACCGCGTCAACGTGAAGCGTTTTATTGTTATGGATAGCTGTTCCAGACACCCGAAACAGAGCTATGCCCTCGGGAGAGTAAGATCCACTGGCCGCACCCTTTTCTTCTGTAATCTTCTTGTATCCAGAACTGATACCACCCTACATGATTAGTAAAAGAAAAATACTTAACATATATTATTTAGACTCAGAGACTGGAATGTACCCAGCGATTTGGCTCTGGATAGAGCTGCATGGAAATCAGCAATCCATGTACCAGAACTTTAATTTACTTTCCTTCACTGTGTTTACTTGTACTTGATCACTTCATTTATGGGTTCTCATAGGTTTCTGTTGGGTTTCATCTCCAGCCTATACCAACTTGCTTGGGACAAAAGGCTTTGTTGTTGTTGTTGTACATTATTTAAGAGTAAGAATTGAACTATGCAGTCCTTTTAGCATAACAGCATCAAAGGGAAGCCACCTCTCAGGTGGTGAGTGATTGTCAAAAAAAAAAAAAAAGATAAATACAGAAACAGTGATACCTTCAAGATAACCATGGGCTGGAAAAGAGCAACAAATTGTGGTGGTTCCTTCCCTTGATAAATACGACCCTACAGTACAACTACAAATAAATTAAACTCTTCTCTTGGGAATAAATATTATATACACTTGTTTAAATGTGAAATAAAATGCAGCACCAGAACAGGCCTTCCTTTCAGTGAATTCCACATTGTATTAGCTAGTTCAGCTCCCATTACTTGATCATCCTGCACAGAGTACACCAAAAAGGTAAACATAGACACCAGCTCACTTTTAAAAGCACATGAGTCATGTCGATGTAAAAATGTGATAAACAGAGATCAGTTAACTCCTTTAATACCAATAACATGAGTTTGTCCTTGGAAATCTATTCTAACATAGAACGGACACACTTAAATTTAAGCTATGTATGGAAAGATTTTGGCAGGAAGATCTGGAGCATCCTAGCAACATCTGCAATTTAAAGATGAACCCTTCCAGCAAAAACATTCTGAGACTAGTTGCCGCAACACCTGTATTATGCATGCATCCTGATTTATCTGTTTATGACCTTTCTAATCTGGTCAGGCAATGTGGCTTCGACATGTGCATTGACAGTGAATATAAATAATTCTACAGAAAGGCTTAGGAATAGGTTTTATCTAAAGTAAACCATCATGTAAGTAAATGCACGATATATAAAACAGTAAATGCCGGATCACCAAGACAATCACTAATTCATTATCAAGTGAAAAGAAAAAGTTAGTCATTAGCTAAGTGGGGCAGCATGCAACGTATTATTACCGCTGTGCTTTCCTTCCCAATCCAGTAATTGAGATAATATTCTTCTTTCTTGTCACCCGAATGATATGTATAAAGAACAATATAACAGTCTCCACTGTAAAATTTTCCATTGTCCTCTTTTGGAAGTGGACTTCTAGTATTTCCATCGATGCACCACACCTGAAATAGAAACAATTTATTTGTAAGGTCATTTTCATTAATGCATTTTGGGAATAAATATACTAAAGAATGCGACTCATAAAGTAGGACATAGGATCAGCCAAACCTCGAGTCTTCCACCACCTTCAAGCAAAGGAGGAACTTCCTCGTTTACTGGAGTGCTGCTTTTTGGAGCTCCCTTTACATCAACGCCTTGTTGCTTCAATAAAGCTAGAAGAAACACCAAAGATCATCAGCAATAATCAAAATAGAATTTTTGTTATCCTGTTAGTTGTAACTGAATAAACTACCTGCAACTTTTCCCCGCCCATCCTCTGCACCTGAGTTCCCTGTTGCAGTACCCGCCGGCCATGATTCAAATTTTGACTTGAATGCATGGCTTTCATAACCCTGAATCACTTGTGTCACTCTTGTTGTCTTTGGCCTTTTCTGGTTAATGATGAATTCCTACAAGAGGCAAAACCATAACAGTGTTGCAAATCTGAAATGACAATCAAAAACATAAAAAGAGAAGGAGAGACTTTCTGTAAGCTCACCTCAACTGCTTTAGTGACAGCTTTTCTGTCCTCGAGTTGTGTTACCCGACCAACCCATACAAACATTTCAGCCCCGCAGTCAAGTAAGAAACATCTTGTGTTCCCAAGGACTGCTTTTGTAAGAGGTATATCTTCAAACTTTAATTCACCGTCATTGATACTGCAAGGAGAACAATGGACAGGGCAAACAGTAAAATATCAATAGAGCCATGTCTTCCAACATCAAGTGATCTTTACAGATACTGCAACTATAAACATTTCACAAGTAACTGCTTCTAGGCAAACCTCCTGGCTACCTTTGCACTCCCACCCCCTAGTGGTCTTTTAAAGACCTTTAGCTGGTGGTCCGGGCTATTTCCAGAAGGAATGTGGAATACACAGAATAGGGACACAAGAACTTGAGGCAAGCTATGACAGTCTGTGGGTCGCTGTATTGTATTGTGTTGTGTTGTGGACTATTTGCTTTTACAATCATCTTTCCCGATGCTAATAAAATCTTATTACTGTGTTGCTGCTCCCGAAAAGATACTTCTGTTTAGTTAATATCTTATAGAGTAGAAAGCAAAATTTATGGGTGTAAAAGACATGTAGCCTATGATGTAAAAAGGTATGTAGCCAATGACTGGCTAGAAGCCTTTTTATGTGTAGGAGACACAACTGAAGCAAATAAGAAGCTATAACTAAGCATTCATCTGTATCGTCTAGAGATGAATAGAGATTTCAATTTATTTATTTTATTGCCAACCATACGCTCATTTTTTAAATAATTATTAACTGGTATGTGCTTGTCTTACAAATGTGAGAACATAAACAACAATAATGTCATGCACATGCCCCCAGCAAGTAGCAACAGTAGCCATATAATTTTGAATCATGATGATTAGTTTCCTTTAATTATCTATTTCTTTGGACTGGTTGCTACCATTAAGTATCAACAAAAGTCGCTTCCATTAAGAAATACCTGTAGAGCTTGGGTGCTGTGGTTTCCAGTACAACATCGTCATCACTGACAGTTTTTTTCCCGATAGGTGCAAAACCTCCAAAAAGGACCCAGAATTCACCAGAGTCTGATTCCGCTTGTAGTTTTCCATCATCTGGCATTATTAGAGTTAAACCACGTGAGTAGAGAAAAAGGCGCATCAATTAACAAAATACCGGTGCCAGGTTAAATATCCCCTTACCAACGATTGCAACATCACACACACCCCCATGGTACTTCTCCTTTAAATGTTGGATCACTTCCAGTGATTTAGCCCTTTCTTGGATATTGGAGTTTGCACCATTGAATTGATAAATTTTATTTTCAGTATCTAAGATAAACACATCATCATGGTTTAATGATGACCGTGCAAAGGGAACCTGAACAATGTAGGCACCATATTAATGTAGCATACAGAATTGATAAGCTGAAATTTGAAAAGAATATGCAGGAAGAGGGTAAAATATCCCCTACCTGCTTAATTCTAATAGCTCTCTTTCCTTTGCAAATATATAACCGTGTTTCAAACGTCTCCTCTTCTGGCGTTTTGAACCCAGAGGCGAAACCACCCTCCATAGGTATAATGCAAGGTTTGAAGTATGACAGGAACTTGTCAGATTCATAACCTTGGAGTTCCCTATACTGGACTGCACGACCCCCAAGTACAGAATCGAGTTCGACCGTCTTGATTGCTGCAGTGCCAGCTTCATCCTGCACAACGACAAGTCGTCAGTTGGTTGAAAATGTATTTCTGAGTGTAACAAAAATTGAATTTTACACGGTGTGTACTTGGCTTGAGTCTTTCCCAATCCAGAAGTGGAGGTCGTACAGATATGCACCACCCTTAGGAGAAGTTGTCTAGAAAAATACAAAGAAATGTCTTAGTAACTTCTGTATGATAGAAAAATAGGAAGATCAATGATGCATCAGGGAATGCAAGAGTCAAAGCAATCACCTGCAAAACTATATATGAATCTCCAGAATAGAATTTACCATAATCAGATTTTGGCAATGCAACTGGCTTAAAATCTTCAATTCGCCATATTTCTATCCCACTAAGTGACGTCAAGGGGCACGCATACATAAATAAAGAAGTACAGCCGAAATTTGTGGGCTTAACGAACAAAATCAATTCAATCAAAGATAACCAGCTAACAGTCGTGTGGAAGGATACACTTTTTGGCCAGCCCCTTGGAAAGCAGGGTCCACCACTTTCTGGGTCGACATTTGGAAGCAACTTTACCAGGGCTCACTTTGAAGGTGATGAAATAGCAGCAATGGCTCCACTATACAGCGAGGGCCCTGAAATTTGAGAGTACGTCATAAGCTGAAAAGGGAGCACGCTAATCCAAATATGAAAACGCATTCAGTTACTCCAACAAGGAAATAGAAGAAAAAAAACTCCAACCAACTGCAGATAAGATAACTAATGAAGTCGTGTGTGAGATGCTGAGTAGAATACATCAAGCCATGGACAATGCTTATGAATCAGCATTGACGTGCTCTCTCTCAGTCACTCTCTTGGGCAGCATATATCCATCACTGCATAATTTTCATTTAAAAAAAAAAGCTTACGCTGTAAAAATAGCTGTATTCAGATTTATGTTGGCGTCAGCATTTTTTTTCAGAAGTATCACTCTCTCCTAACCCCATGACACAGGAGTCCCCTCTTCCCACCCCGCTCCGACGTCAGCAGAGGAGCACAACTTCCCCTGCGCGCATAGGAGTCCGCCGTGGTCACGCAACCAGCACATGGCCAAGGCTTTTGCTGCAATGATCGATGCATTTGAACGGCTATTTGATCTTGTTCAAAAAGTTGGTCCCAACCAAATGTAGGCGTGTAGTTGAAGGAGATGAGCTATCTAGCAATGATAACCTGTGTTAAAGTGCTAGTTTCAAGTGTTAAACACGAAGGATCAAACAGTTGATCCAAGTAATTTTCCATGGACATCCTGAACTCGAGGATTCCGGCAAATATGTATCCAGTCCAGGTGGTGCTAGCCTTCCTTTTTTCCGACAGTGAGCTGTCAATTGCAACATGGGGAATGTAACTTGCATACAATGGCCGGCAGCTGCGAGGCCGATGTGGTGAGCAAAATAAATAAAAAATTATAAGTGTGCGGAGGGAGAGTGACAGTCTGAAATTCAGCCAGCTGCCCAACGCACGACAGCAAAATAAATGAGCATTCAAATCCGGACGGACAGGTGCGTATGTAACGCCGGGATCACGGAATAATGGCCCGGATCTTGCGATCTAGCGGGGGCGGCCATTGCCGCGGCGGATCCGAGCGCGTGATCCCCGATCCTGCCGACGATCCCGGCCGGCGCGGGGCCCAGCCGCGGGCTCTCGGCGCCTGGCGCCGTAATTCGGCGGCGAGGGGGCGCGAGGAAGGGAGGAGAAGCGGAGGATCTACGGAGCGAGGCGAGGGCACGGGAATCGGCTTACCCAGGCTGCGGAGGGGAGACCGGTGGGCCCGCCGACGAATAGGGAGCGTCCCCGCGCGGAGCCGCGCCGCGCCGCCCGCGTAGATCCGCCGACGCGGGAGCGCTGATCCGGCGGTGGGAGGAAGCCGGCGACAGGTAACCGGAGCGGGAGGGGCTCGTCCGACGCCGGTGGGGAGGGAGGGAGGGAGGGATGGCGAGGCGAGAGTGAGGAGGGAAAGGGGGCGTCCGACCGCGTGTGTGGGAAGGAAGGGAAGGGAAGGGAAGGAAAGGCAAGGAGGGAGGACGGGTTGGCTGGGCTGAGCTGGGCGGGGCGGTGGTGCATAGGAGGGGGGCTCGTGCCACCGCACCGGGGGTAATAATGGTCGCGCTCGTGGATGCAGATGCTGCTGCGTGAGCATGGCACGCCCATGCCCATGGATCCAGCCAGCCAGCCAGCCGAGCCAAGCCCGCCCCGGTCGGTCGGTCGGTCGGACCCACGCCCGGCCGCCCGCCCAGTGGCGGCCATCATCACCCATCGCCGCCCGACCTGGCCTGGTACAAGTGTACCACACGGCATACAATAAGTGCCACATGGCGCGCGCAGCATCACGAGCAGGTCAGAGCAGTACGTACACATACATACACACTGGCCGGTGACGAATAGTATATTCGGCTGCCTTGTCCGGCAGGAGAAGAATATGTCTTGTTTTTTTCTCCTTCGAGAGAGAGAAGGGAGGAGGATATATCTGTGCTGCTGTGGCATACGTTTTCTTCTCCTTCTTCCAACCGGGCCGGTTGACGATTCCTTGCACGTTTCGTGTTTTTTTCCTTTTGATTTGACGGACGGCGACAAGTTTGTGTTTGTTTTCTTGCGTTTGAAATACATCTAGATATATTCATTTCTTCAACGAGTAATTCCGAACGGAGGGAGTATATGGCTACGAATGCGTCGTGCGGTTTGGCCGGCTGGAGCCATTGTTTTGCCCGGTCGCGTCGGTGTCAGTCTCCAAACTACTCCAGATAATATAGGTGCATTCCATTCCTAATCAACAACAACAAAAACTATACTCCCTCGCCTCTAGGAAAAAAAAGAATACTCGTATATATACCCAGGCCCTGACGTTGGGCGATTCTTTACTCGACTGCGTGCTCGCCTTCTCTTCTTCTCCAAAGTGAAAAACATAGCGTGCTCGAATCATTCCATCTGTCGCACAGTGATATCCACAGCCCGCCAAAGTTCAAGTTGACATTGATGCTTACCTGGAACTTCGCCGCTTTACATGTCCCGTCTATCTAAAGCCGGTCGGCCTCCCCCAAAACCCTACCCCTAGCCCTACTGTATGAGCCCCTAGTTCCAATCCATTGTATGTTGTCGAACCCACTCGTTTGCATCCGTTATCCAAACCCATATTTTGCATCTCTCGCGTGCCCTCTGCCGTTGGCATGGTCCAGATGGCGGCAATGTGGTACAAGAAGCTATCGTGGGTGCACAGTGTTGTAACGTGGCAGACGCCAAGTTTCGGGCTCGCATTGAGGCGGGCTAACCCGAGCTCCGAAGTCGGGCTCGAACGAGGAGGCGGTGGGCATCAACGCCATGTGCGACGCGACGTCTGGACACCATGTTGCAGGCGGATAAGCAGTTCAGTCTGGCACTACTGGAAGAGCACCATGTGGCGGTGGCTCGACTGGAAGTGGAGTGCGTGGATGTCGCCGTCGTGGCGGAGCTCCTTGTGAGCCAAGCTGCCGTCAACAAAGAACCGGGCAGTGCTCGCGTTCGTGCAAGGCCCACACCATCGACCACGGGCGTCGTCGGCTCTGCATCCACAATGCACGATGGGAGTGGCTCTTCAAGGAGTTCGAGGCCGAGGACGACAAGAGGCCGACAAAGCAGGATGACGATGCCGAATAGGCACTTGTCGACGGCTCCGGCCGGTTGGCGCCGACCGCCAACAACAACGAGACTGGTAGCGCCAGGGCAGGGTCGTCGACCTCACCTTCGACGATTTTTTTTTAAGTGATCCCTCTGCGTTGTAAAGAAAAACCATGAACTAGTTCAAGGCTTGGTGTCCACTCAGCTTGATGAATTGTGTTCGATGGCCGGCGTCCAGCCGTATGTGTGGACGTGTTTACCGACATTTGGCAACTCCATTTGCTTGCGTTGAAGATGCCCGCTTAACCCAACAGCCGTACGTGCAGCGCTGCGCGTGACTTAAATTGATCGATCGGCCCTTCGGTCGGGGCTCCGCGGCTCTCAGCGCGCCGCGGCGGCGTCGCCGGCCGGCCGGCCGGCATGCCATGTGCGTCGCCACGGCCTGCTGCTTTCCGCGCCACCGCAGCCTCTGCACCGGCGCAGTGGCAGAGGATCTGCTAGCTCATCGAGCCCAGAAAGATCTCCATAATTGAGGCGCGTGCAGGGGCAGCTCCGGCTCCGGTCGTTGGTTGGGAGCGGCACGATCCATCCATCCATGCTTTAAGACCCGGCCGGCTCCATGATTAGATTTGGGCAGAGGCAGCATCTTCCTGCCTCACGTGACCATGCTCACTCCGGCACGTTCCACAATCCACAGGGTGTACATGTTGATGTCGCTCATGTAGCTACTAACATATTTTTCCGGAGAAAAAACTACTAACAGATTTGAATTTTGTGATTGGACTTATAATAGCAAGAGTTCGGTGTCAGAGTATGATCGTATATGCAAACCATATGTAATAGCATCTCCAATTGGATCCCTACTCCGCCTCCATATATCCGGGCGCACATCGTGGACACCATCCGGACCAAAAAAAGTCACTCAGCCGGATTTTCAAACTCAGTCCATATGTTCGTGTTGTCCAGCCCCCTTCAAACCTAGCTCGGTCCATGCATTTGTATTGTCCGGCACCCTTTAAACATAGCCCACATGTGATTTGCCACATCGGACCCAACCGGCGGGCCCATCACAAATCCCTTCAAATTGACAAAATCAACCGCCCTTCCTCCCGTGCATGCCTCCCTTTCATGTGTATGCGTAGTCGCCCTCCTTCACCCTTGCTCTGCGCATTTGCCGCTAACCTCCTCCGTCCTAGTTGTTGACACTCGCTTCCCCGTTCGCGTCTGCCATGGAGAATGGGTCCGCAGAGTCCATCGGGGTTCCTATCATCATGAACAAGGCGGAGACCGTCACCCGGAGGGAGCAGTGCGCCTGTGCGGCCGCAAGAAGGCCGAGAAGGAAGTTGTTGAGATGGCAGAGAAGGACGTTACCAGATAGAGTTTGTCGCAGCCGCGCCCTCCACCCCGGCCGCAAGAAGATCTGTGCCCTCCGCTGCCCATACCCGACGTCGTTCGCCTTCACAAAGAGGGGCATCCCAGATGACTTCACGCAAGATGACGCTTCCCAGGAGATGGAGTACAAGATGCCGAACTCCAACGTTTGCGGACAACATCTGGCATCATTGGCGCCAGACATGCCCACCAACTATTCAAAGAAAATCCGGACCAAATTTTACAAGTATTTCTTGACCCATATGCAGTTTCGGATCAACTTTAGGATGGTAGTTTCATTGTGATGCATCTTGAGGACTCGCTGATGATGGATTTGATAAATGACGGTTAAGAACCTCGAACTTATGAAATGGGTGATACCAAATCCCTTTCTATAATGCTTGGCAATCATCGGGCACTCAAAAAGAAGGCTCTAAAGGCAACAGGACGATCATCCTCAACCCATGAAGATGTCATGTTGTTTAAAGCTTTTTTTGCGGGAAATGTTGTTTAAAGCTTGTTTGGCCATAAGCAAGGATCCTATTTGTGGAACCAAGGAAACAAAGTCTCAGAGTATTGGCAAAAAACAATGCTTGGTTCCATGAAACACAAGAACTATGTGGAACCACATCCTATCCATACCACCCGCAATGAGGGCT